CAGTTATAGACCCGTATATGAAATTCAGTCTTCCAATCGCCCTTGTAAATTATAATCTCAGAGTTTATTTAGTTTTTACATTGAAATACCAAGGTGGATACATGTTTAATTCGATACTTATATGCAGGTAAACAATAATGTAAATAATACGATAGTGACATTTGATAAAGTAAAAAACTGTAGTGCATTTTTGAAGTAAAATAATCATTTACATTAAAATTAAGTCAATGAATAAAGGATAGGATAAGGTTGAGTTAAGTTCTTAAAATATCCCCTCCTTCTGGATAAACTTACATCATGGTATAAAAAAAAAAAAAAATTATCAGTAGTCTTCTTGTATGATAGCTACCGCACACCGACGTCTGTTAACAATTTATTACCTTGTCAAACAACTTTAGTACTTTTGCACAAAGTAAATTTGTAACATTATATTTTATCATTTTTTCTTCAGATTAAATAAAAGTTAATAAACTTTATAATTGTTGATAGGTTTATACTCATTTTAAATTAAAATTAATTCTAATATCATAAACCTTCGTATATTATTAATATAATATAATAATATATATATATAAGTGTAAGTGTGATTAAATTGATTTTATTATAACGATTTAATCATAAGTGGATACTAGGTAATTTATAATTACAAGATCTTAAACCAAAATATATTTTAGAAACGTTTTGTAACTCGACAAATTTATTTTCATAATATTTTTTGCTCAATTTAAATATTAACAACATCTAAGTGTGTGCATATAGTTTTAAACGTACAAAGCAATATTTATACATTCATTTTTATATTTTAACTTTAATATAAGCAAAAATTGTAATGTTATGGTATATTGCAGGCTGTAGCCTGCTATTACACACGAATTAAGTGCGTAAAATTATGCGTTGTGTTTAGAAAATATAAAAAATTTAGAGGAAAAGATAATATATTTTAATTATCGTAACAATTATTTATTACTAATACTAAAATTATGTTTAAGTCAAGCTTACTATGTTTGTCATGTTAATAATAATTATCAACGTTAAAGATCAAGAGCTACGAATAGTAATAGTCACTGACCAAGCCATGATGCACTAATATTTTCGTTAATCATACTATGATCATTATAACCACAAATTTGGGAACCCCATGGTTTTGTAAATATAAAAAAAAAAATTATTAAATTTAAAAAATATATATAATATTGAACATTTTTGTATTTAAAATTAAATTTTTATCAAAAAAATAAAAAATAATTTTGTACTTTGCGTATTACCGTTTTAATGTAAATAATAACTATTAACTAATATGCTTCCAAATAAACGAGTGATAAAATATATTGATAAGAAAAGTTATCGTGCTGTTATTTAGGCGCAATTGGAAATTATACGTCAGATTATAATTAGCGCGACGGACAACAATAAACGACAAATTCTTCGTTGAAAACGATTAAATTAGTATAATCAGTAGTATCAACAATACTACAATAGTACGATTTTGTTGGACTATAACGGTATAACAGTTTTTTGGAATGATGTCCTTGAAATAATAATTAACACTGCTAAATTACTGCAAAATCCTACATTAAACCTTAACACTTCAGTTTCTGCTATAAAGCCTTTAAAGAGTTTTATTAAATTCAAACGCAATCGTTTTAAACAGTATAAAAAAATTAAAGGTAGAATTTCGGAAAAAAAAACAAAATTTAAAACATTGTAAACGGCTAAGAAATATCTAGAAATTTTAATAAAACGCCCGAAGTAGATTGAACACCTCAAAATTTTTTTACCAGTTATAGCCTATTGATACGTTTACGTTCAATTTGGACTAGTGATTATCTACCTATTAATTGGTGAACCGACAATGTGGTTTTCTTCAAAAATTAGAAACAATTAATTAAAGCAATTAAACTAGTAAAAAATCACCAGTATAACATGAACAATTTAGAAAACGAGCTTATTCAGTCTAAAGAATTTTACAAATTTTTTTACAAATGAAACCAGCGAATTTAGTAACTTCAGCTATGAACAGTAATTTAATGTATAATGACTTAATCAACTTGAAAAAATGAGCTCAGATTGTGATATTTTAAGTACAATTAATTTTAAAAATGTAATTGAAGATTTTGTGTATATAAAATCAAGATAAGTATTTAACTTTAATCAAGTCATTAAAAATTATTATTATAATTATAATTTTCAATAAAATAAAAATAAATAAATCAAATAAGTATCACATCAAAAATATTGAATGTTATAAAATTATTAAAATATATATTGTCCTGTTTATTTATTTTAGACTCCCCACAATATATTTCACCCACGCGTCTCCAGATACCTAAATCCACCCCTGTTATAATCAATGGTCATATTAGATTGTAATAGCTCAAATCACTATACTATTGAATTAATATTGTAAAGTGAATAAATAACGCGTTAACGGGTACTTAAAAATGTTTTTACTTAAATTGAGAAAAAAAAAATTTGGAGCCACTGTCCTAATACCCTTGCACCATAACATGTAAGCTTTTAACAAAGATTCAACTATATCATGGTAATATTATCTATAATATAGCTCTGAGCTCGAAACGTAAAATAATTAATCGAATCGATTGCCATGAATTAATATCAGATTATTATATTATGTTTCTAATGTTTCTATTGTCGCGTTTGCTGGCGGTGCTACGAATTTTAAATCGTAAATCGTAATAGTATTTTTTTTTTCAATTATTCGTCAACAATGGAGTAACACTGCGCGTGCGACAATATTATATAGCAGACAACAGTGATTTTTTTTTTTTTTTTTTGATTGGCGGTACTTCTGCCCACAGGTATATTATATTCAACAGTTATCAATATCGCGGTAGGTACATATAAAATTTTTTATTGTGTCGAAATAATAAGTAAAATGACCGATTCGCGCCGTTAGTCATAGTCGGTATGAAACATTGTGAATCACAGATTGCACTATAGCCTACTCGTTATGGGTACTTAGCTGTGGCAAGGCGTTATGCACCTAAAATAAATCTTATAAATGTGAGTAAAGGAGGTACCTAGAGTGGCGGTGAGATACCTTGAGCTTGAAATATTACATCGTGGAAACACGATGTCGGTTCATCGCGGTTCAAATGGTTCTACGTTATGAATTTATGATATTATTCAGTCATCGGGCGTATTCTGCGGCTGTACCGATACCTTATAAGTTATAATGATATGAATCCAAAATAATATTAATAATAATAATGATAGGTAGTAGGTACATATGATATTATTATATTAGCGGCAGCGCTTGTTCGTGATAAGTGTATCCGCAGGCTACATATCCTGTACGCGTAATGTTGTAATTATTTATATTGTTATTATTTTTATATGACGCCAAATCAAGCATCATGTATACAACTGGCTGCGTTTCCGACACTCGAGTCAAACGTGCGAATCATAATATTTCAGCCCCGAGCTGTACCGTCTACATATCGAATTATAATATTATAATACTAAGTGTGTGTTCGAATAGCAACATTAACAACGAACTCTAGCCACAAAAGCCGCGAACTCCTTTCCCTCAAATCGACTCACAGAATAATTAGATAGGTAGTTTATCGTATAAAATATAATTTAATATTACATAATATGTACACTGACCTCGAGCTTGTATTTGCAAGAATCGTTTGAAAATAATTCTTCTCGTAAGTGTGGTAATTTTAGAGATGATATAAGCGCCATTATATGATAATAATATATTATAAATTACTATAGCTTCATCAAAAAAAAAAAAAAAAAATGAACAAACGTTAAATACGGTGTTGTTTCGGTCTATGTCACTTAATGAATTATTTCGATCGATATTTTTTCGTATGATGATAGCAATGAGTAGATTTTTGAACGTAGTTTAAACTACTCTTTAAATTTTGACGGTACCTCTAATCTCTGAAATTTTTGTCAAAATCGATCGAGTAGTTTTTCAGCCTGTAAGCTTCAAATATATTAAAGACATTGTTTTTCATTGAATATTTGAATAAATTAAATATTATTTTATTTAAAGAAAAAAATTGATACCAACGTATATATTTTAGCGGTTTAATAAGTCTGTATCGTTTTTTTTTTTTATTTCTGTGACAAATGACCACCCGTAAACACATACAATTATTTAATATTTATGAGCTGAAACAAAATTTACGAATGAACTAGTTGTGTAATTATGTCTGAAGGAGAAGGAGGGTATTTCAAGACTTTTAAACTTAACTGGTTAGTTATATTTCTAATTAACTTAGAATTCAAATAGTTTGACTGTTTAAATAATTTTTTTCAATAGAATTAAAAATAATCCATTATGTTAAAATATATATTGTTTATAACATTTTTAGCTTCTATTTGGTTTTATACATTATTCATTACCGCATATATATAGTTTGAAGTAAAATTAATTCTAGCTATACTATAATATTTCTGTGATGTTTCTTGCTAAAATAATATCATATTATAAAGATCCTATTTTATTATTATCATCATTAATTTAAACAACTCGTGGCGGTAATACGAAAGTATTTATTCTCGTATACGGTTACAATCGTTTATTTTCCACCGCACGTAACCGGTCGAATAGCTGGACCGGTTACCCGGACAAACAGAGCGGAGCCATGCAGATAAAGGAGTCAGTAGCCGGTAACTCTTTCCGCGGGGGGGTTTCGTTGGGGGGCACCGCCGCGCGTTGTACCCTCTCTCATTCCCCTCTGGCAAGCCGCCCGCCACTGCATCGTACCTGTTGTTTCGCGTATTATTTATTATTTTTTTTTATTCCCTTCCTTTTTGTCCGTTGTTATTTTCCCATTATTCTTTGCCGACCGCATCCTTATCGTTTTTTTTTCTCCATCTTCCTCTGCAGTTCTCCCGCACTCCGTTTTTCCGACATGCACGTATTATGGCTATTTAAGATCAATACGTTCGTCACTCGGTACACAAATTGAACCGCAGTGGCTTGAAAGAGACGCTTGCAGTTTGTACTTTCGATAACGTACCACGTACAAACCGCCGTTCGTCTTAAGCCCATCACGTTATTATTATCACCATGCAGGTAAGAATTTTGAACGCGCCACTAAATCGTAATATATTATATTGTGTACAGCAAACGTTCGATTAAATAAAATAGGTATCGAGCAAAAACTATTTTAAAATTTATCTGAAATAATGTATTAATATATTGTTAAGAGAACGTGTGTGTGTTGTTTCTGTCTTGTAAACGAAAATATATTAAATTTGAGTTTAGCAGAACCAATTTTGTATTAATTATTAGGAAGAATTGATGTGTTATCAAAATTAAAAATTATTTGTGATTTCTTGTCGGATTTTATGATGTTTTAATTTTTAAGTGAGACGAACGTGTAAAATATAAATGATGATAAATCTTCTAAACGCTCATAACTTGCTCAAAAATTAAAATATTATAAAAAAACTAACGAGAGAACACAAAAAATCGCATTTACTAAACACAAATTTGCTATATTGAGCTTAAGACAGAAACATTTCATGGAGGTTGAGTGTTTTCTTAATAAATATCTTGTCGAAATAGTATGATTTATATTTATATAAGTCGAACAAATAAAATGTAATGACTTTAAAACCAAGTAATGATGTTATGTAATATATATCAGATACGTAAAACCAAATTTTGGTTTTGATCTTCTGCATACAATTTCAAAAAAAAAAAAAAAAAAATAGTAACACGCGTTCGAATCGTTTATAATATCTTTGCTTTTAAACTTTCTATTTGAAATTATTAAAATTATTGAAACAGTTGTATAAATATTAAATTCATGAAAACAGGTAGTGGCTAATATATTGATTAACTGACGAATTTTTTCGTGTCTTCTGCTCTGCAGGTCTCTTACGCAATCGGACTGTTGTTGGCCGTTGTAGCAGCCGCTACGTCGACGGAAGTTCAAAAATCCACCGCCGCCGCCGCACCGTCGTCTGTGCAATCACAGACGCCTTTCCCGGGACAAGGAAGCGTACCATACCCAGCACAAGGAAGCGTCCCGTACTCGGCACAAGGAAGCGTCCCGTACTCTGCACAAGGAAGTGTTCCATACCCAGCACAGAGTTACCAGTTCTCTTCCGACTTCTCCGGACCGTTGGCCAAATCATCGTTCGGACCTAAGGCCGGCGTCCCATCGTCATCTGCTTTTGGTAAGTCAAAATCAAACAAACGGCAATGGTTATTATTGTTGCTATACATCACTTCGACATGCACATCGTAACCAATTAACGTAAGTTTCAATTTGGTGTGTTGAATATTTAAATATTCAAGTGAAATTACCAATGATCGAACTTAAAGATAAGAACATTATTGTTTTTTACGTTATCTTAATTTTTAAACACATTTTAAGTATGATGTAAAATGTTAACATTTATAAGAACGCAGATAATGTTCTTGTCTTAGAGTAACTGATTGTTTGAATCATTTCACTTTAATATTAAACAAACTAAACACATCAAGTCGAAATCGCGTTGAACGTATATTTTGATGTCATGGCGGTAGTAAGTCGGAGACAACACGTGTGGGTGCGACTTCCTCTTAAACAGTGGCGGTTAGGTTGAAACGGTCATATACTTTAATCATTGTCACGCAATGTAGCTATATTTGAGGGTAAAACCATATTTTTTTTATTAAAATCGCATTATTTGGGTACAACGCGATAATCATTGAAAATAATAGTATTATAATGTGTGTTACGTACTGATCGCGAGCCTCTACGTTTTTCAGCCGCATACCAACCGTACCAGCAACACCAGCAGTACAATTTCGGATCGCACCAACAGTACTACCCGGCTTCCGGATACCCCGCCGTCGGATCGTATCCGACCCCGTACTCGGCTCAACCATCGGCCGGCGCCGCTTACCCGACTCCGTACTCCGGTTACCCGTATCCGGCTCAACCGTACCACGGCGGCTCTTACTCGCCCTATCTGGCCGCCTTCCCGTCGTACTACGGCGGTCAATTCGGCGTCCCGTCCGCCGCCGCCACTCCGTACAACGGTCACTACACGGGCGCCGCACCGTACAACGGTCACTACACGGCCGCCTCGCCGACCGTCACACCGTACTCGTCCCTGCCGGCCGCTTATCAACAACAACCGTTGCAACACTCGTCGTCGTTCTACAACGGCGGTGCGGCCGGTCAACAGTACGGCCAGTCCCAACAGTACCTCTCCCAACAGCAGTACCCGTCCCAGCAGTACCAATCGTTCTACGCTAACTCGCCGGCCACCCCGGCCGCCGCCACTGCCACCGATGCCGTCAAGGCCTCGGCCGAGAGGAAGTGAAAACGATTGATCGCCATCGAGGATACTTCGCTGCTGGACTTTTGACTTATTATTTCACTACTTAGGATGTACGATCATTATTTATTATTGCAACACTTATTGCCATATTTTGTGATAAAATTAAGCACAATAATATACTTAACGTAATTATATTACAAACACCGTTTTGTCATTATTTTTATAATATTACAACACTAGCTGATCCTGTGCGTCGTAGCCCTCAGATTTATTCCTTTTCAAATTCAGTTAAATGTGAACTGCGCACAGATTTCTAACTCGATTATCTGGTTGTTTCAACCTAATATAAAATACAAGTTCAAAATCACAACTAATTATAATAGCTATTTTATTTTCTGTGACCGTCGGCGAAAATAATATAAATGAAAAAAAAAATAAATAAATAATAGTCTTTCGTAAGTCAAATATATTATACGTCATATACTAATGTTTATGTGTCGAACGGTAAAAAGTAAGTAACAAAAATAAATTCACGACATTGCGGATATTTCTGTATCTATTGACATTAGTGTTATATGAACGCTGTGGATATACATATCAAACCATACGTTTTAGGCCTTTGATTTTGTGTGATAGATATTACACTTATTAATCGTAGCTGATCCCTACATGACGTTGCCTGTGAAAAATTAAATAATGCCAGTGGATTTAAACTTTCTTAACTCCGTTAAATGTAGACTAAATATATTTTTAACACATCCATTCGGGTTGTTATGACCAAATATAAAATATGGATCTAAAATTACATCCAATTATTTCAAAAGCTATTTTATTCTTTATATCAATGGCTCCATCTATACATAAAAAAATAAATATAAATATTCATTTTTAGTGAGACAATTTATTTTTCTTGTATGAATCCTTCTTTAAAATGTAAAATTTAAAAAAAATTCTTTCGAAATACGCATCATCGGGTATAAGATTACCTGAGTATTCAATTACAGAACCACGAGTGCACTAGACTTTTGTTGTAGATCGCTTATAAATATATTCATGGGCATTGTCTTTATTAAGATAAATACATCATACTCGTTTCTTGAAATTTAACCCATGCATATAATAGTTGATTAAATGGTGTATTGAATTGTTAAATTTAAACTAAAATATTTCTAAGCACGTTGATAATTTAATCACCATTATTATAGGTTGGTATATTACATAATATATTACATACTCATACAGTCATACCTAGTAATTGGTCGATAACAATTTTAACGATGATTTCGTGAATCAATTAATAACAAGTGTTTGTTATATATGAAATCAATTTATACTTGGTAATATATTACCATATAAATATTATATTGTATACCTGTAGCGTTGGTTTAATATGATAATATAATTTACGTGCGTTAAATTCAAGAAGACAAAATTCATGATGCAGATGACCATTTTATGGTGGTCTGAGTAATAACGTGATTTTATCAAAAGATGACCTTCTTAATGTTAACGATATGTTTAAAGATATGTTGCATTTATAGTCACACAATACATGTGGTTTTTAAAGCTGATTTGAATATTAAGATATTTGAACGAATACGGTTTGCTCTGTACAATTCTGAGTTATGTTGACGCCTGCGTAGAAAAAAAAGTAAACATTTCTTCTAAGATAATTTTATTAGAAAGATGGAAACCATCAACTGGGTTATAAATAGTTCCATACATATTGGAGTTAAAACAAAAATATTGCCATTATAATAATATTGTGATATATGTGATTGAATTATACCATATACTAAGTATAATGTTATCTGTTATGGGTACTATCGTCTATTCGGGAATGCACTAGATAGTAATATTTTATCTTTTATGAAAAATAAATGCTAATTTTAAGTAAAGTTAACATAGTATATTAGTATATAACTTAAATCTTTTTAGCTGCAATACAATTCAACAATAATTATAGTATAGTCTAATAATAATAATAACTTCATATCTTCTCATTTGAATTAATTTTATTATTATTATTATATTACCTTGGAATTTAAATATTGGTAATTACAAACTATAATCAACTTCATTAGGTATATTGTTAAAAAAAAACCAACAAACAGGTGGTATGCATAGTTCCATGGACCAATCATATGGGTTTTAGAATGTTTTAATCTCAATATATAAACTACACTGATAAAGATAAATAAATAAAATATATTTGGTGATAACAGTTAGTGAAATAATAAATAGTATAATATTACTGAAAATAATTTTGTTTATACAAACAACTTTAACAAAATTGTAGAAAAAAAATAATATAAAAATCCTAATCAAAATATATATTAAATGTCTTAATAGGTACTTAAATATCGTAATATTTTACACACAATTAATAAGAAATAAGAAATAATAATACTACAGTATACTATACGTCACACTTCGATTGTATTTATACCATTTTGCCTCTTTCTCTTTTTGCCAAAAAGTATTTTCCAACTTCGTAGATAAAAAAATAATAAAACTATCACGTAAAAAATTATTCGTATAAAAAAAAAAATAAAAGTCAATTGTTGAAAATTACAAATGTGACATCCACGTCGGTGGTGGCAGCAAGTCATCGATCCGACGGAGGTCTTCGACCCTCCACCGCCGCCGGCATTTCATCATAACGTGTGTGTATGTACCATGTAACACATTTTACATACATATATATATAGGTATCTACATAGGATTTATCATTTTATGTAGGTACATTGTTACATGTGAAGAAATTTCTATGCTGGTAATCATATCGAATCCAATATATCCGTAGAGAACTTGATGCGCGTGAGCTTGTGACTATACTATCAGATACAACAGAAATGAACCATCGCCATCATCGAAAAAACACTATGGCGATAATATTATACTTTTTCTGTTTGTGGATGACTAGATCTGTTTAGACGATCTATTTTGCAAGAAATAAATTTAGAGAAAAAATAAATATATATATTTATATATATTATGTAATTATAATATTGATATATTTGCATTTTTTTTATTACGTAATTATGTTGATTTCGTGAAATAGGAAAAAATATTATCTATGAGAACCAAGAAAAAAATTCATTATAAATATTTTTCTCATTAAATGAACGATGTAATATAATATCGTATAATTGTATTCATCATTTGGCTATCCATTCTAAAATATAATACAAATACTAATGGGAGTATTATGTATGTATTTCTTTCACTGAAAATAATGCTTATATTTATTATTTTATATGTGTTTTATTATAATTTATTATAGCTCTTTTTTAATTACCTTTCATATAAAAACTAAAGATAAATTATAATCTTGTAATTAGAGAATATTTTATAAATTTTATAAAATTGAATTTTTATATTCAATATAATGGTATATTAAACATAAAAAAAAAAAAAAAAATCATATTTAAAACATCAGAGCTAATCGAAACTGTAGACTTTATATTTAAAGGCCAACATTTTGGATTTTCATAGTGGTAAAAAGTACATTAATAAAAGTCTGTGTTAGTCTTGATGGTTATGAAAAAGTATTTTGGACTTTGAGTAGAGCAATAAATGAATCGGATTTACAACGAAGTGTTATATTTTTATTTTTAGTAGTTTCTGTCATCAATTTTTAAAGCAGTTATAATGCTTTAAATTTCAATTTTGAATGTGGTTTCTGGTGAAAAATTGAATCCAGTTGATACGTGGGATTTGGGTAAAGGTGATAAAAGTAAAAAATTCTCAGTACTTTTCAACATAATTGAGAGAAGCTCAATTTTCTTTGTTTATAAGAAAATAAATTTCGTTTTCGATTACCTCAGTACATTATAGGGATATATGCCACACTGGATGTATTTATGGATCAGTGATTAATTAATATATTATACTGAGCATAAAGACACGCAGGCTTTAGTCGGCTCCGCAAAAGGATCGAGTCCGGAGTCGTTTGTAAATACGTGAACATTTACAAAATAAAACGACTTTGCGTGCTTGTGACTGTGCTGGATGACCACCGGTCGAGGAAGACAACGATAGCGAGACAACCGGTCCGCTCGACGTCTGCAGCTGTGCACACGGCCTTGATCTTGGAAACGGAGGAGACGGGTAAGACAGGTCACGACGACGGCAGAAACCAGACGGAAAAGGTTATGCGCGACGACAACTACATGTACAACAATATTATCTAGAATATAATTACTACATGAAATACACGGGAGTCCAATAGACAAAGGCTAGCTACAGTCCTGCTCAGTCTGGTGGCACAGGATCAACGTGATTAAGAAATGATCGATCTCATATTGATTGTATGGTGGTACGCGCTGACGATAAACCACGGGGAAGGCTAGATATGTCACATAACAGTGACTCATGAGTCCGTAGATTTTTATGAGTCCAAATCAAATCTTTGTATGAATCGACTTACCAATGAATTGAAAAATAAAGCTACAGACTCCCTCGAGTTTTAAAGAGTTAAACTTACATTGAAAACGGTTCATTAATTCGATAGAATACAAAAAAACACGTTTATTTTTATGTTTTAAAAAAAGGAATTTTTTTTTAAAAAAAAATTACTTTTAATGGTTAATTAAATGGCATTTTCATTAGTTTACGTTTTTATTTTTATTTTATTTCTAGTAAATAAACATGTGTACCTACTAGTGTTTCATTTTTGTGGCCTCTAAAAATTCTTCGACTCCCATATGGCCTCTCTCCAAAAATAATAACTTTTAATTAATTATCACTGATTAACAGTACTATTCAACGTGATTCACCAGATTTTAGTGAAAATTCTATGAAATTTATCATCAGAATTTAGAATATAATTATATATTGAGAAATACGCTCTCGGTACAGTTTCACATGGTTTAAGATTAAGATTTGAACCGTGTACATTTACTAAGGATTTTCAAATCTTTCCCATGCCATATCAGGTCATAGATTCAATACACTACAAAAACCATGAAAAATGTACATAAATTCGATTTTTGCTACCAAAATTATGCGAAGTTATACAAAATAAATTTAATAAAATATATTCAATATAACAATTTACATAGGTAATAAATTATTTACATAGACACTAACAAATAACATAAATACGATATTAAAATGTATAAAAACGAATGTAATAGGTACATTGTGAAAAAAAAATATACAAGAGTCTAATAAAAAAAGGTAGGTAAGTGGTT